ATCATGTACAACAGCCATATGGATTGAAGTACAAGCATCAAATCTTGACATGATGATTTATGGTTAACATCCAAGCATTTCTTAGTTAACATGAAGATTATTTTTTATCCAAATTTGAATTGGATCTTGATCTTTCTAATGAAAGTTATATGTTTGCTTAAACACTTTTGCTTTTATGAAGATACGAAGATACTTTGATTCAAATGAGTTATCTTTTGCTACTCCTATGAATCATGGAGCGGGCAGTATTATTAAAAGTACAATCTAGACTTTTTGTTTGATTTTGTAGCTTCAAATGCATGTAAAATAATCCAACCCATAGAAACAATTTCTTTCAATCTCGTGTAACCTTGAATGTAATTTTGGAGCATATATTTATTTTAGTTCCAAGAAACAATCCCATCTTCTACAATAGCTCAGTGTGGATTCATCTTTTCTCAGTACAATAATTCATGCAATTCTTTTGTAATAATCAAATTAATATTGATATATATATATATATATATACACATGAAATAAAAATTGCATAAATACAACATGTTCTTGCATAAGTTGGTACTAGAGAAAAGTTTCAAACAAAATGAACTAATCTTTGTCCAACATATACTCATGTTGGACTAAAATAAACTCGTGACAAATTTCACTTTTATCATTACAATAAATTATGGAATGTATGTGTATATATCAAATCAATAAATGATGTATGTATGTATGTAGATATATGTACAATTGCATAAACACAACATGTTCTTGCAAAAATTTGTATCAGAAAAAATTTTCAAACGGAGTAAATTAATCTTTGTCTGTAATGTACAGACAAAGATTAATGTACAACTGCAACATCAGACACAAATTTGTAGTTTGTTACAACAAAATAACATACACATACTCCTCTAAGATGATCATTGAAATACTTATTTTTTGCACTCAAAGTACTATTTTCACCTATGTTAAGAAGTGAATAGATGCCGACACTAGAAACTGTTTTGTTGATATCCAATAAGGGATGGTGCCTCTAGGCAAAAGCACACAAGTAAATTTTTTTATCCAAGAGTATTATTTGTCTTATTCATTATCTTGTTTTGAAATCAATATTCTTTTTGCCTTCACCATCTCTAACCCTATCCTGTGAAGAGGAAAGAAGCAAAAGTAAGTATTAAAATCATTGAAAGTATCGCGAGCAAAAAGAGCATTCAAAATAATATTATCATTATAACCACAATAGACAACTGATATACTATAGTATCGATAGACAATTCACTCATCGGTTCATTTGACTGATTCTTAATAGCAGCACTATATCATCTCATCAAAAGGAGAGTAAACGCACAATTGGATCATATGGTCAACGTGTAGGAACTTTACCTCTTACATTTAGTGCAGAGACATCGTTTACATGGGAGAAACAAAACTTACGAAGGCTTCAGCGTGAAAGAGGAAAAAATCATTGCCCAACGATCAATCGCTTGGCTGTCTGCTGTGCAATGTTTGGGGATCAGTAGCTTTCGTCACTTATAGATTCAGATACGTTTCGTGTTCAAATCGAAAGCCCGTGCGGACCACTCTAGATTTTTCTTTCTGTGCAAACCTGTAATAACCCACTAAAGGCTAAAACTGCAATATAGTGGTAGAAAGGTCGAACCCACAGGGACAGAGGAACACACAGGGTACAAAGTGTCACATTTAACAGACTATTGAGGAGTTTGAATTCTCAGGCGACTGTCACTCCCAAAAATACTGCAAGTGTTCACTCGGAGGTCGCACAGTGCAGCGTAGTTCACTTAACACACACACACACACACACACACTTGAAACTACAGAAACACAACTAAGAGGTCGGTTAAGACCTCTACTTAAGATTTCAGGGGGGGAAAGTCTCTCGCGAGTACACTCAGCAAAGCTGCGGGTAGTGACTCCCAACTCCGGCTTTTACAACCCTTCCACTAGCTTCCTGCTAGCGTAGAGAACCCTGATCGGACTTCCTACTTCGGATCGAAGTCACTCACATGCGGTGAACAACACGCTCAACTCACAAAACGCGCGGAGAACACAGGTCCGCACGGAGGGACTCAACTGAGAAAACGATCCAGTAGCACACCATAACAGTCTATTGAAGAGTTTGAATTCTTAGTCACTTGTCATTCCCAGAAATACTACAGGGATTACCCTGAAGGCACCTGCTGCAGCGTAACCTGAATTCACAACCAAGGCTTACACGAAGTAGCAAAACTTCACTTGGGCATTTAGGGGAAAAATCCCGAAGGAGTACAATCAGGAACAATCACTCGAAAGTGTAAGGGGAAAATTGTTCAAGTATCTAACTCGTAACATGCTCTGAGCATTCGGCCGAAGGCCTTCAGCTACACAATGCGGACCGCCAAGGTGTAGCTCCTCTTGCGTGGTGACAGAACTAAGGACACAAACACGCAGAGAAAATGAGTTCTTGATCTGCACTTCCGAAATTGGAAAAATCCCAAGGCAAGACGCCTTGAACAACTTTATACCTTCTAAGTCCTAACTAACACTACAATGCCATGCCATGGTGCGAGCCGCAACAGATCTTACACCTAAGGAGTCGGCGGCTGCCTAAATCTAACCCTAACCCTAAATCTGAATCCTAAGCCTACTGTACAGAGCCGCCAGCGTCTTTGCATCCAAGATCTGGGGCTGAAAATTTGCAGGCATGCGTGGCCGGCTAAGACCAACAGCCTCACCAAATTTCAGATCCATCCGACCGTCCATCGCAAAGATATGGGCCCCGCAAGATCTCTGAACCGAGGTCGACATTCCTTCTCCAAAATCCGAGGTCCGGGGGACCCACATGCCGCTTGAATGCCGTTCCCGCGATTAGGGGTAACGGCCTGCTCCTCACGTGCGACTTCACGCCCCGCGGTTCTGCATCCCACACTTGACATAATCCCGCCAACTTCCGTCATCCGGAATCTTCTGCCACGTGGCACCGAAGTCGTACCGCCGAAGGCCCTTGAGCCGAAGGCGTATCTTCCGCCGGCTCCTTTCCTTTACTGCGCTGTACCGGAGGTGAGTTTCGCCTATGCGCAGGCGTTCTCCCGTCCGCAGGGATTCGCCTATCCGCAAGGAGTCTCCCGTCCGCATGGAGTCGCCTATACGCATGGAGTGTCCCGTCCCCATGGAGTCTCACGTCCGCAAGCGAGTAGCGAGTAGCGAGTAGGCGAATCGGCGTGTAGCGAGTAGGCGTTCCCCGCCGGCTCCCTACTCGCAACTCCTTCGTCCGAAGGCCCTTGCGTCGAAGGCTCCATATCAGTAACTTCCGAAACTCATAACTCATTGATCTCTTATCCGTTCGAAGCGTTCTTGGGCTCGTTAGAACCAGCGCGTCAAGTTCTTTCCAACAAAACCTTAACCAAGTCAAGGCGTTACGAATTGAAAAAGTTATAAGGGATTCACTCTTCCGCCGAATGCACTCTCCCGCATCGTCCAAGGCGTTGACCCGAAGACGTCCGTCGCCGAAGGCGAACATCTAGGGCCAAAGGCGGATATTCCGCCGATGGCGAAGTGCCTACGCGCAGGTGAATTTCTTCCGCCTATGCGTAGGTGAATTCCTTCCGCCTATGCGTAGGCGGAATTCCCGGCGGACTTCCCGCCGACAACGAACTCCTTCCGCCTAAGCGTAGGCGTTCTCCTTCGCATCTTCTAACAGTCACAACTCCCTGAGTCCTCATCTGTTCCAGGCCGTCTTGGGCTCGTTAGAACAAGCGCGTCAAGCTCTTTCCAACGAAACACTAACCTAGTCAAGACGTTGTGAATTGAGAAAGTTATGAGGGATTCACTCTTCCGCCGAAGGCGTACCGCCGAAGGAACTCTTCCGCCGAAGGCCCTTGCCCCGAAGGCGTCTACCGCCGAAGGCGCATCTTCCGGCGGTTCTTCCGCCGAAGTCGCTTTACCGCCGAAGGCCCCCCATCAGTAACTTCCGACCCTCATAACTCAATGACCTCTCATTGGTTTCACAAGTGTTTGGGCTCGTTAGAACCAGCGGGTTGAGTTCTTTCCAACAAGACCCTAAGTAACTCAAGGCATTAGGAATTGAGAAAGTTATGAGTGATCTACCGCCGAAGGTGCTCGAAGCGGGTCCTGGAGCATGAACCGCCCGTTGCGTCCCAAGCCCAAAACCCCTTGACTGTACTCGATACTCTTTTTACTCTGGTTTCGCGTACCGATTACTATTTACAGTTGCTACCGCGGTATTTACTATTCAAAAATGTTTTAGTTTCGACGAAAAATAAAAAGTGGGTTACCACAAAACCAGCATTCAATCAGAGTGATATGACCATGAACCATCATCTCTGAGTTCCAATCGGGATTTCTGAGTTGACTCTGAAAAGATATTAACTGTTGGAACTTGTCCAATGTACTTGGGCTTTCTCGAGTCTAAATTTGGTCAAGCTTGAGTAAACAGTTGTTGGAAGCTGCCTTCCTGGGTATGACATCGGTTTTTGGAGGAGATAATGATTATGTTAGCATTGTCGGTCTGAAACAAGATCGAACGTTTTCGATTTTGTTCTTACGATGATGATCTATGTCTACTTTTGTCGCGAATCCATTAGCAACAAATAAAACGTTTTGTATTTATTACATTCTCGCTTTGATATAACCGAGGTTATACTATTTGGACGGGTGACTTTATAAAACAAAGAATTTCTTACATTCGATGAAGTATGTATTATAATGAACATGTAGTAACGTTAGATGTCGTTTACTCGGGGATAAAATCACATCCGGCCCGATAACTCCCAGCTTATAATATGAAATTTTCGTGCATGTGATAGTAATTACTAAATGACGTGTTTGTGCACGTGATTGATTCCTCAGTTACTAACACGGGGATGTTTTATGTGATTGAACAAATCAACTATGGAGATCACTTGGTGTGTAAAAACATGGACTGAGGAAACACACAATGTCATCCAAGAAGACAGATGTAGGAAACATAGTAACGAATGTCAACTGTTTTTTTCATTCTCGACCGAGGATGTTATCATCAGTTCTTACTTTGTACTTGTTATGTTACAGTACTTTGTACAAAACCCTGGAGGTTGCTCCATCACTACCCATCATAACTCAAACTATGCTGTCCAGAAAACCACTGGTTTCTTACTAGTGCAATTTTGCTAGCAGATTACCATTTCAGCGATGAAACCAGAGTCTTCGCCATGACCTACTCCTTACCCATCTGCAGTTGGAATTTTGAAAAGATTTAACTCGTTGTTTCCGTTCCAAGATATCTGTCAATCTAGCCGATTTTCTGGATACGAATTCCAAACTTACCGAGGGAATTTTCGCGTAATAAGTTTTTCACGCAGTTATAGCTTCGGAGTGGTGTCCTAGTCGACTGATTAGGAACACCCGTAGAGCTTCCACAGCTGCACAATCTCCGGTAAATGCGTGGCCTCATAAGGTGTCATTTTTATCGTTGTATCGCTGTTGTCTTCGATGGGATCAGTCCTGGAGCTGAGTGACGGTTCCTGAACCAAAAATGTAGCAGTATCTTGCCGCTGAAACATCTGAATTCTCTGCTACCCTATTCTTTCTAGCCGAATACACATCTTCGATCGTCGTTTGGAATAAGATTCAGAAGCAGATATAACTCTCTATTCCCCTCTGTCGACGTAAGACTTGGGCTTACCAGGTACGTATCGTACTCTGTTTTCCAAACGTAGGGTATGAACTGGATATAGCCTGCCCTTCGTCTCTCAGCGTTCAACGAACACATCCGTCCGAACCCAGTGTTCCGTTAGATCCACGATCTCTTCCCCATGAAGGCGAATGATTCCTCTGAATTACCCTCTCGTTTGCTTCCATATTCAACTGATCTATGTCAAAATTCGAATCTTCATTATCAGGCTGATCCAAGCTTGATACTCTGATTCTCCAAAATGGTATCTGCCGAAAATTAAACAAGTGTCTGTTAATACATTCCCCACAATGAAAACAAAATATCTTCAGCCTCGGCAACAACACCTAAATCACAAACTCTTCAACAAAACGCACAACTTGATCCACTCCTCACTTTTGAACAATCTCTGGTACATGATCCAAGCTATTTCGAACCAGACAAATCATGTGGTCCAGGTAGGATGTGCAAATCCCAAGTACCTGAAAAATGGTCGTCGAATATGGATGATGGGACTATCCGCGGATTCCTTCTATACTTCAGTGACAGACGGTTGCTCGGCTACGACTCTGTCATTAGTCTGGAGCTCGCTTTCCGGAACAGGGCCGACTCGAGACTTCGAGCGCGCAAACATCCCTTCGAGTTTTTCCTTCTTGTGGCAGAAACAGCACAATAAAACCAGTCCGGCAAAAATCACTGCGCTCATGATTCCGATCACCACTCCCAATTTCGAACTCCCTGCCGTGGCACCTGGTCGTATAGTTTGTGGACGTCCCCGAATGGGCTCCTGTCTGACTTCAGCTGCGTCTCCAAAGACGTGAAATATACTCCGTAGTGAAATCAAAACGATGCAAAAATGTTGTGTTTTCTTGGATAGGTACGCTGCCATTCTCGGAGACAGCTAACACTCCGGCCGAGGTTCAAGACCCGACAGCTCCGTTTCCAGAGAACATATGTCCTCCCTAATTGGGTTGTCGACAGATTGAGAAGCACACGATTGCTACTGCGGTAGTTCTGGATAATCAAGACAACATATTCAGATGCCACTGAATAGGCTGACAGATTGAGGGGCACACCGGTGCAATCGTTTCTAAAATGGTATCCTAATCCATGACAAACATTTGGTTACCTCCTCAACCTACCACTCATGCTTTATTCTAGCTTTGCGAAGCATTGCGAACCATGGAATCCTCCCATCTGCATCATTCGAACGTCAGGAACACCAAAGGATGCACAGAAAGCCTTTCGCATGGTCAGAGTATCAACCTCTGACGACTGGTGCCCGGAGAATCATGAAATGGATGTGCCATTTGTCCCTCACATCGAAACAGCATTCTGCCGGTATAAGACGATCGAATGATCAATCCTTTATGACTTTCTCAAGGGCAGGACCTGTTTGTGGGTCCATCCAGTACTGTACATCACAAGACTTGAAGCGGAGAATGACTGGACCGAACAGATTCGTGACGACATTCCGTAATTATGCACTTTTTATCCACCTCTTTCCCTTGTCGTCGAGACTCTCCTGTTTTCATGAGCATGAGATCAAGTCCTACAAACTGGAATGTAGGAAGTTCTCCAGGGAGCCGGTCTTCGGAGCATGTGCAGACACGTGAACTCGGAACCTGTGCTCCTTCATGCAATTGCTGTATACAAAAAGACGATCTGTGATGCATCCTTTTCAGACTTCTGAGCAATCTGCGAGTTCTACACGAATTTCCCTCTGTCATAAGGAAAAACGATAAACGGAAGAATAAAACTGGTCTCATGTGATGTTCATGCTATATATTTCTATTCCAAAAGTTTCATCAGATTGAGTCGCGAGAGTAATGAGATACGTGATACTTGCAGCAGATCAAGAAATTATGGATAGTTTTGTAAACTTTCCTTTGTTCAGTAGACCTTTAAAATTGTCAGAAAACCATGCGTTGCCGGTTCTCTTGATAGACTGTTCAAAGACTTTACTCGAGTAAATTTTGCCCTGATGTCTTGGGCTGGTTCAACTGCAGAATCAATATTATTTTTGGAAAATGTTTGAAACGTAATGTAAGGAACTAAATTTGTTGCGTTCAAAAGAGATCCATTTATCTTTGTTGAACAGTTGCTGCATGTGACTCATGGTTTAATGCGACGTAGCTCATGTAATATCCAAACCTTTTACAAATCAACAGCTTGTGAGAGACGAAGGTCTGAATTTTGGCTACAAATCAACCGGCAACCGACTTCTGTTGATTATGTGGATAACGGGTCAATTTATGGTGGTTTAAGAACCCTATGATGCTAGCAGACGGGAACGAAACATACCTCGATCACCAATGGTATGAGTACATGTGGGAGTATTTGAGGGAGAATGAGCGTTATTGACCTTTCACGGTACTGCCTGCAGCCTTGACAGAATGACTTTACTGCATCCATCATAACTCTTATACCTACTCATCAATATCATTGTCAACCGAGAGCAGCAAGCAAAACTCTAATGCAAAGTCTTCACTGCAAGCACTCCGTCAAAAAAATGCAATTCTTCGACATGTTGTATACATATACGTCGAAGAATTGCATGTTTCCATATAACTTGGTTCTGAATCAATGAGTGGTACTACATCCATAAATATATTCTATACGGTAAATACTACACTTATGCATGTAGTACCACTCATTGATTCAGAACCAAGTTCCTTATCTAAATTGCACGATGTAGGATCTTCTGGATGCTGCACCCATATTCGGTCTCCAAAGTGATGAAGTAAGTAGGGGGCATCACTTGCAAAGAGACGTTACGAAATTTTTGCGTTGTGCAAATGGTATATAATGGCCGTTAGGAGATGGATGGATCCCAAAGCCGCCGACTCAAGCAGATGCATCTGGTCAAAAGGATTGAATTAGTCAGCTTCAGGATGTGGAAGCTGCTTCGAGTTTTCACTAGATTTTAAGCTCAACGAACAGGCTAATAAACTTCACTTACAAATTCACTTCATGAAGATATTTTCTTGCAGAGGGATCTGAGGATCTGGGCGGCTGAGAGAATATGTTTTCTTGCTCCTGGCAAGTTTCATGTTCAGAACCAGGTGGTATACTGCCAATGGATTCGCAGCGAGAAAATGTTCGTGTCTGGTTCAGCTTCGAGTGTTCCTCAACTCCTGGTCGGAGAAAGGATAAAAAAACTTTCAAATATGCATTAGCCACGCTGCCACCCTTACAATGTGACATACTGCTGCTGGTCCCTGAGTTCCTCTTCCAAAGAGGCCAATATTTACACGAAAAATTGATCATCACACGTGATAGCTTGCGTGTCTAATGTATGACGCGTCCACTAGACACGCAATGGTCATGATGCCAATCTTTATCTATATGGAATCTGCAGCTTTCTAGGATTCACTGATTTCCCAACAATTGCCTTTCGCGAGCTCCAGTAGCCGCATATTCATGCCTTTTGGACATGGACCCCTTATCAGGTCCAAGTGCCTTTTCGATATTTTAAAATTAATGTTGTCCGTAGACAGCAGCAGAGGGTTACAGATCGAGTGAGATCTTACTGCCCAATATGATTTCTATATATACTTCGTCATGATATTCATATCGCTTTCTTCACTTCCCAGCTTTTGCCATTTGTCCTTCTCGTGTATGACTAGGATCAGAGTCGAGCTAGATTTCTAAAGTACAACCATCAGACGTTTCCAGTCATTTCCACACGTCTGTGACCCAACTTCGTTCATCCATAATAGTCTCCTGTAATAGGTGAACTTGATTGTATCTAAGCCCTCGACAATTTGGATTATGTTGTAGTGATCGGTCTTGTAAAGGTTTACTCCATATAACTCCATCCTGCCAAATCCACATCAATAATCACCAACTCGGTCTCAGTACAAGTTCAGCTCACGGAGTTTTATCTAATTTATGGAAGAAAGATTCCCAATTGTCACACATTTCAGCATACTGAGGCTTTCTATAGTCATTCGCAGCTTTCAAATGTTGCTATTCTCCTTTATTTGCAAGTGAATACCATTGAAGGGTATATATGATTTGAAGCTAATGTGCTCAAATTATCATAATTATCAATACATTTTATATATACAGGTGGATTCTTACAGTACAGACTTTCGAGAATCCATGGATGTTTCATAACTGTCCAGGAAACTGTTATTCGAATCAGCACACGTTTAGATAATTGTGCATGTATAAAATGCGGCCTCCGTCGAAAATATTCAGAGTCGTTATCTACTAGATTTTTTTACAAAATATAAAAGCTCTCAACTTTCCACTGTTACTAGCTGAGCTTTTGTAGTATCACTGCTCCAGAGAATACAGAAGGAGCAAGAATGAGCTGAATGATATCCGTTCATTCCGTTTCCATTTTCTCCGGTAAAGGATACCAACGGTTGAGTCACGATTTATAATATGTACAATGTCCTGCTTAAACCTCACTGCGCATTTTTGCGGTATATCTGTTTTCGATAAAGAGGATCCTTTCCGTCAACTAGTAGACAATTATCTATTGACAAGCTATTTCTTCTTCCATCTGATACCATGCAATAATCACATCATCGGGATGGATGTTCTCGTGGAATGATGGGAAAACAAGAATCAAGCTATCACAGTATCCCCTATCCAGAGTGCAGAAGCTCTTCGAAAAGGTTGAGCATAGTTGAAACGTGGATTGACTTTCTAAAAGGAAAAGATTTGGTTACCTTCAGATGGAAGAATGCTAGCAAAGGCACATGATTCAGCTCTTGCTGATCACGTAAGAGTGAAAAAAACTACAAGATGCTTTAAGAGATTGTATTTTTTTTCAAAACTCATAGAGCTAGTTACGAACTATGTAGTTGTATGACATGACATGACAGCCTAATAAGACTAGGTTTAATAAAATAACAATATACTATAACACGAACCAACACGGAACAAAAATTGAAACTCACACGAATTTCAACACGCTTTTCATATTTTTCTCTTCTGCGAGTATATTACATCCCCCACCTCCTTCACCATAGATGATTTGTGATAACCCACTTTTTGTTTTTTGTCGGAATTAATACATTTTTGAATAGTAAATACCGCGGCAGCAGCTGTAAATGGTAATCGGTACGCGAAACCAGAGTAAATATAGTATCGAAGACAGTCAAGTGGTTTTGGGCTTAGGCCACAGTGGGACGCTTGGGACGGAACGGGCGGTTCATGCTGCAGGAAGCGGATACTGCAACATGATTCGCTTCGAGCACCTTCGGCGGCAGATCACTCATAACTTTCTCAATTCGTAACGTTTTGAGTTGCTTCGGGTCTTGTTGGAAAGAGCTCCACGCGCTGGTTTTAACGAGCCCAAGAACTTGTGAAACGGATGAGAGGTCACTGAGTTATGAGTGTCGGAAGTTACTACTGGGAGCCTTCGGCGGTAGAGCGACTTTGGCGGTACGCCTTCGGCGGAAGAACCGCTGGAAGATGCGCCTTCGGCGGTAGACGCCTTCGGGTCAACCCTTCGGCGATGCGGGAGAGTGCATTCGGCGGAAGAGTGAATCCCTCATAACTTTCTCAATTCGCAACGCCTTGACTTGGTTGGGGTCTTGTTGGAAAGAGCTCAACACGCTAGTTCTAACGAGCCCAAGAACGCTTGGAACGGATGAGGACGCAGGCAGTTGTGACTGTCAAAAGATGCGAAGGAAAGCGCTTACGGATAGGCGGAAGGAGTTCGAGGTCGGCGGGAAGTCCGCTGGGAAATCCGCCTTCGGCGGAAGGAATTTGCCTGCGCGTAAGTACTTCGCCATCGGCGGAATATCCGCCTTCGGCCCTAGATGTTCGCCTTCGGGTCAACGCCTTCGGATTAACGGCTTCGGCGATGCGGGAGAGTGCATTCGGCGGAAGAGTGAATCCCTTATAACTTTCTCAATTCGTAACGCCTTGACTCAGTTAGGGTCTTGTTGGAAAGAACTTGCGACGCTCGTTCCAACGAGACCAAGAACTTTTCAAACGGATAAGGCGTCACTGAGTTATGAGCGTTGAAAGCGGCTATCATGGTTAGGAGAGAGGCCTTCGGCGTTAACATATAGAGGGGCCTTCGGCGTTAACAGTTAGAGGGGCCTTCGGCCCAAGGCGGCTTGCGACGTGGACTCGGACGCCTGCGAGTGCATAGGCAAATGCCTTCGGCGGAAGAGTAAAACCGTCATTACTTTCTCAATTTTAAACGGTTTGACTTAGTTAGGGGCTCGTTGGAAAGAGCACAACACGCTTGTTCTAACGAGCCCAAGAACGTTTCAAACGAAGCAAGGATCTGTGAGTTATGAGCGACGGGGGTGATTGTTATAGATAGGCGACTTCATGCGGACGGGATACTGCCTGCGCA